TGAGGGTAATTTGTAAGGTAGTGTTCTTCCCCTTCTTTACCATTACAATATCAATAAGGAGCCTTATCACTATCCAAGATTTCTCTTAACTTTTCTTTTTTCTTCACTTCTCAATCTTCGGCTTCGGCTAATAGTTTTTGATATTTTTCTTTCGAGCAACCACATTTTCATTTATTATTTGTTTCTTGCGTCATACTAATTTAATACTTTATTTTCTAATTCTTTACTGCCTTTTCAATTATCAGTCTCCTTTTTTACGGCTTCTTTTCTTTGCTCCAAACAATTCTGACAAATAAACCTCCCTAGTTCATAATTAGCCATAAAAGGGTAATGGAGATTATTTTGACAAATATTACATTTTCTCATAATTATATATTCAAATTTCTTTTTGTTGTTTAATGTCTCAAATAGCAAGTTGTTTTTTATCTTTTCCTATCTTGATTGCCATTTCTTCATCAGAAACTCAAATTACGACATCTAAATAAGTAAGGTTAGTCTTGGGGTCTTGTCAAACCCCAGCATATTCATTTTTTCCTAAATAACCTTTGAACTCCCGAAGAGCCACAAAATAACCACTTTTTTTCTTTAAGGGTCATCAACTTCCTTTTAATCAGTAGTAAGTTCCGTTGGGTTGCTGTTTAAGGCTTTCAAACTTACTTTGACTTCTCACTATCTCTTTATATTATAATTTTATTATTTTCAGTTATCAACCCAATTATCAATTTAAATAACTGAACTAATAACCACAAACCAATCCTCCCTCCTTAATAAATAAAGGAATAAAACCCCTTATATGACAACCTTTTGAGAACAATTAGAGGGTAAAAAAATCATCAGCAAAGAACAAATCGAACAACACCTCATCCAAAAATTAGGAACTCCCACCACTGAACTCCAAACCAACCTCCTTTTTGAAATAACCAAAAAAATCAACTCTTACTACTCCGAAGAAACCAAACAAAACTCCACCACCTTCTCCCTCTTTGGCTTCGTCAGTGAAATCCAAGAAAAGAAATTTAAAGAGGGCAAAAGAAGGGGTCAACCTTACCTCCTCCTAAAAATGGGAGAACCTAAAAAAGAACTAATCCAAGCCCGAAAGGAAGACCTCCCCCCTGAAAAGTGAACCCAATTAGAAAATTTAGCCATTTTAGGTAAGAATTTAGTCTTTAAATACCAAAAATGGATAACCAACAAACAACTATTAGACTTCTACCCTCAAAAGAAATAAGTCCAATAAGTATTCATACTTATGTTTTGAACTTTAAAAGTTCGAACAAAGCCCAACAGGGTAGGAGATTTGGCTGGTTGGTTGACTGTGAAATAGCACTTAATCCTATTAAGGCTAATGCCAGTCTCACCCTGCCTAATATCCCTTCCCCCGTTGGCTTTCCTGCCCCTATACACACACGAAAAATATTTTTTAACTTATGACTAATAAATTAATCCCTTGAAAAGAAATCTATCAGCAACCAGCTCTTTTCCATGTCTACTTAACCGAACGGAAGAGAGGTAAAACGGATAATAAGGCTTGAACCTTTTTAGAGAATATTATTGCTGATAGTAATGTCCGGTATGCCTGATTAAGAAGACACTGGCATGATAGCCTCGAATGCTCCAAACCTTACTTCCAAGATTTAGTTTATAAATTTTGTGAAGAGAAAGACCTTAACAATAACCAATTTGAAGTCCAAGAGCAAGGATTATTTTACCAAGGCAAGAAAAGAATATATTTTTTTGATTTGTTTAGTTTTCGTAAAGCCCGAGGTAAAATTGCCCGTGGAGTTCAGTTCCAAGAAATAGTCTATGA